GACATACCTCCAAGGATCCAAACAGACATACCTCCAAGGATCCAAACGAGTCTGACTTTTTGTTAAACCGTCGGTTCTCTTCCTGCGGAACGAGTCCGAGTCCGCCTTGGCAGACCCCCGCCTCCCGATGGGGGGCCTTCTCCCGGACCCTCCCGCGCGGTGGAACGACGCAGAAAGCGATGGAGTTCTCTGAGGCGGAAGACTTGGTGAAGTGCCTCTGCAAGAAGGACGCGAAGCAAACCGACGCCTGACTGGTCAAGTGTGAAGAACAAGACCTGGTGAGTTGGAGAAGCTAACACCTGGACTGAGGGACTCAGTAGTCTAAGAACAAACCATGCAACTGTAGCAACATGAGTTTTGGAACTGTCCAAGATCGCTGAGGGACCCAGTCTGGAAGGAAGTAGGCGATTGAGTCGATTGAGTATCACTTTCTGTAACTGCAACACTCATGTTTGCAACCACTTGATCTAGCTAATTCTAGCTTATCCTCTAGCTGCATCACTAGAGGTGGTTAAACTTGCCCTTCAAGCTGACCATGAAAAGCATCAGTCCTGCACCGTGGAGCAAACGTCGCACGCCAAGGAGAACGCTTTTTTCCAGGGGTTCCTCCCTTCCCAGTCAAACGTTTGCCAGGAGAATATCTCATGTTGACTCTCCCCCCCATTGGAATTGGACATCCTCTTCATATGGGGGGTTATTAATCAAGAGTCTATCATTTTTGGACAATCGTGGATGGAGTGACATGAGCCTTTTCCCATTTGCCAGGAGCCTTCGGAGCGCTTGCCCATGAAGAAGGGTGGTGTGGCCAACATCAAAAAGCCGGGCAACCCAGACGGTCTTCGGGTCGGGAAAAAGTGGATAGAGGTATCCCTGTGAGGACAACGATGGACCCTGGCAAACTCCACAGGTTCAGGATGGGTTCAGCCTTCAAAATATCTTCCAATTGAGGCGATGGTCGGTCCATGTCGGTCGATTTTTCTGACTTTCGTCGTCCATGCCGGTCGTCGGTGCCCCGACATCCCCTCGCACGACAAGCTCGACTGCCAGGCATGCCTGGTACAAGAGCTTCGACTGGGAGTCCTATGAGGCCACACATTTTTTCCCCAGAGCCGGAGCAGGGAGCTGGCAGAAGGTTCGGTGTCCGCAGGGACCCGGCAAGAGTCAAAGAAGGCTCCGCTGGGGTGCAAGAGTCACCACGTGAGGTGATCAGCTGTTGGGAAGTGTTCAGGATGAAAATCACATGAAATCACCAGCTTTGTTTGCTTCGGTTCTTTGGCAGAGAAGCAATACCTTATGCCACGAATTTGAAGGACGGTGCAACAAACTGAGCAAACATGAGCAGGTTCAGTCATGGTCAGTCCCTCATCTCACATCCATTTGGGAGGACTAGCAACAACTGCACAACAGATGTGCACCACATGTATTTCACCTTTAAAGATGTTCTCGTTTATCAACTGGGTGTGTTCTCCCCTAAGACTACAAGTCCCATCGAGTGCTGAGAGTCTTGGACAACACCCTGGGCCCACACGGGGACCAGGCACCGTTCGGCGCGGCCACCGGCCAATGTGCCAGACTGGAAAGATGGAGCCGCCCTATAGACCACAGGTGAAGGGCAAGAAGGCCTGAACTGCCCGTGCTGGAGATTGATGGATGCATCGCAGAGGGGATGTTCATCGTTGTTTTGATTGATCAATCCACAATACAATCTAATTATTTTATGGTGGCTCTCTTTTGGTACCGTTTGGGTTCTTGGGTGCATCAGTGGGTTCTGGTCCAATGAATTTTGAAGTGACAGGTGCTTCATGTGATGATTCTGGGTTCTGGTCCAAGGCCATTCCCTTGGCAGCTTCAGACTCTGAAGCTTCCAACATGCAGCATGCACAGATCCCCGTCCAGCCCAAGGGACTCGACGATGCGAAGGGTGCAAGACTGAAGAGTGACCTCATCAAGGGGATGGGCTCCCATGGCGGAGAATTTCCTACATGATCCGCATCTTTCGTGTCCAACGGCCCCGCCCTCCTTCAATGGTGATCATTCTGGATTATTACAGTTTGTACACTCTGAACACATCGCATCGCTACGTGGATGGCATGAGTGATGGCATGGCACCGACATGAAGACTACGTTCCTTAAGGGGGTGAACTCCACTTCCATGGAATGTGTGAGTGGTTTCGTGTGGATCCTGGAATCATGGGGATCCACAACCTTGCACCACCTCCCTCACCTAGGCTTTTGCAGCTTCGTTTTGGAAGTATTCACTATGGAGGGGTGTTAGTCCCGGGCATGTTCGGCAAAAAGATGTACAGTACCTCTTGCAGGGGCTCAACCACATCATAGCCATCAACGGTAACGATAGAATTGGTTGGGAAAAAGACGAAGCTTTCAAGCGGCATCTACCGCTTTGATCCGCTTTGGCCATGCAAGGGACAGCAGGGTCCTCAAACTGGTTTGTAGTTTGAAGTGGGGTCGGCCCCTGACCTTGTGTGGGATAGGAATAACCACCACATCATAGAGAAATTTGCCCATAGATGCCCATAGAACTCATGAATGAAAGTCATTTTGAAGTCAAGAATCCATTGCTGCCAATCTCATCGGTTTCTACTGGAAACCATGGAAAACCGCGGGGAAACCCACAGTTCCCAGAAATCGTCCAACATGAAAACCTGCTCAAGCGACACTTCCTATCAGGACTTGGCAAACTTTTCAGCTCGGAAAGAAGACCTTCCTCCACAAGTTCCATACAAAGCCGCCAGCCGAGAGGGGGACCCGAACTGCACGAGCGAAAAAGCCCGAACAAGTTCCAAATGCGTATCTTTTTAGAGTGGGTGTTTCTAAGAAAACACCGGGACCTCGCCGTGTTGTTTGAAGCAATTTAGAGATCAGAACGAGCAGGGTTTGGGATGTTTTTGGGGGTTGGATTTGTGGCCTTGTGGGAGGGGATGTTGCGAATCTTTTGGAGAAGAGTACCAGGCAGGCGCATTTGGACTAGTGACTAAGGATTCTGGGATGATGACTCCATCAATTTGGGGGGATGATGCCCCACTCCTAAAAGCACCAAGAGCGATCTAGGTAGACATGTCAGACGACATCAATCGACAACTCAGCAGGTGGCTTTGAATTGTCCCATCATCATCAGCATCATCAGCATCATCATCATCATCATCGTCATCATCGTCATCATCATCATCATCATCATCGTCATCATCATCATCATCCCCAAAATGAACCCACATAAGTAGAGACACGAGCTTCAGATTGACAAGATATTCAGTAAGGCAGCAGTTTGGTTGTTCAAGAGAAACAGGCAGACCCCTTTAACATCCTTTAACACCTTTACAGGCCTCTCAACTTGTATTTTTGCATACCCTATCACCAGGCAAGTGCATGTGTAAAAGTCCTGTTTGGGAAGTTGATGGAAGTTGAAACATGCAGTAACTCATTTTGTGGACTCGTGAAAGACTGTGGAACTTCATCTTCCATCCAACGCTCGATCATAAGCTCCGTGACATGACAGCCTCGGCCATAATTTGGTGGCCTCATTCGGCCAAGACTTCAGGATGATGGCAGTGGCTGGGACAAGGACTTTGCGACTTTCCCCTGAGGGAAGCGCCAGCAGGGACGGGAGTGCTTCCTGCATGACTCACATGACTCACGTCCGGAGTGGCCCCCAACCCATATGTGGCTGCAGGCATTGTGGTCATGCGTGTCATTATCTATATATATATATAGTCATGACATATGACTATTATCACCTCTTGCTGTTAGACCTCGTGTTAGTCCCATGCCAAAGAGAACTGGGGGTCGTCCGGACTGCAAGTTTTCCATGCTTTGGGGTGCTCCTTCACCCTGCAAAAGATAATCTTTCGGGGTGTTTCAGGGCTCCGACATGTGGAAATTGCCATCAGTTATATACCAATATTTAGATCTCAAATCCGGTCAACACCTTCTTAAAATGCCGAAGCCTCGACGTTTCACAACAAGTCGACCCGTGCGACGGCCGTGGGCGGATGGAATCATCCGTAGCCCGTAGCAACGGTCGCTGTCTATGTCGAGGTTGAAACGCGGAACTTGCAACACGGAGGAACGACCTGAAAACAGGTCGAAAGGCCAGCTTGCCTTGTGGCTTTTCCCGTGTTGTTGGATGCAAAGAAGCGGTGTTTTGTTCGTGCAGTGTGGTCCAATCATCCAATCCAAGATGTTTACTTGAATTTCAGATCCAAGGTCTTGCCCAGGAGGACTTAGTTGTCTCTGCAGAAAGTTGCCCGGGGACATGCCTGGTCACTAGCAGTGACACTTGTGACCAGGTGGGCGTGCCTTCCAGGTTTGGTGCAGTTGATTGGGAATCATTTTGGAGTTACTGTTTATGTACTATCTTTGGATTACCCAAAGTATCTGCACCCACCGTACTTGAGGTGTCTAAGCTAGACCTTGGCATGAGCGTGCAAGTAGAATGCCATTTCTGTGCACGTCTTGGTTGGGCTGTTTGGATCATAAGATTTTGGGTTTATATATATTCACATAGACATCCTTTATAGAACCGAAAAGACATTGAACATCGCCACGGTTTCACCTTATAATATTTTGCAATTCAAAAGAATTATATATATATATATAGAAATCATATATTATATATAAAATAATACTAAATATATATAATAAATGTATTTCATATAATATATTATTCAATATATATATATAGATAGAATTTAGACTTAATATATATATATATAAAATATATAAGAAATAAATTATATTTATTTAAATATTTAAATTTAAAAATATATAAAATATAATATTTAAAGAACCAAAAAATTGATATAAAGATTTTAAAAATAAATAAATATATTTAATAAAGATAATTAATATTATGGTTGTCGATATTGTTTTTGGCAATGGTTTTATCGCAATGATTGAAGGAATAATGTAATGGATTTAATGGGACTACATTCGATTTATACGAATATTGTATAATTTTGGATTTTGGCTATGATGACCGATACGGTATATGGGAAATATGGAATACGTTATTGCCGCTATTGATGCATTTGCATTTAATTTATTTTTTGTGTAGAGAAGCAATTGATTTGCGGCGGGATGATTTCTTTGACCAATTGATTTCTTACTCACAATTCCCAAATCTAGGATTGGGAATCACAATTTGTAGATAATATTGAGGATTAAGATTATTTATATATATTTATATTCCACCGTAATTTGCCTCGAGATGCCTAGACACTTTAGGCCCTCGTTGAAACCTGGCATAATAGTGCCTCATACAAAAACGAATTCATTGCCACCTGCTTTTATGTTTGTTTTAGCTTAAATGCTACCCTGATTATAATCTTATGGAATTATATTGAGGTCACCTTGCCACGTTTCTTGTACGAAGCCGATTGAAGGCTATTATCGGACCCTTTTATTCCACTTAGGTACGCAATTGATCATTGACGATTTTGCCTTGCCGGCAGTCACGCCACGTTTCGAGGAATTTTGTCGTAATTTGTACCTTTTGTGGTTGGTCCCAAAGCAAAAGAGAGGAATACCATGGCTCCATCCATTGATCCAATTTGCATCCATATCGTTCGAGGCCATTGCAGCCTGCTTAGCGCAAGATTGATAGTTCTGATTTTGACCGCTTTTATCGCTTGCTCGGATGAGGCTCAGCTGTTCCAGAAACAGCCAGGACATAGTCCCGCAGCCCAACACGGGCGGACATAATGAATGGTCCGTTGAATGATGAATGAATGAAAATGGTTGATATATTATGTATTTTGACGATAGAATATATTAAAATTCTAGGAATTGTAAATTGGTGATATTAATAAAATTAATTATATGGATAAAATATATTAAAATATTTTTAGAAATTATATAAAATAATATATATATTTAATATATATTATAATTGGATTTTAAATGAATCGAATATATTAAAAGAAGGAATACATATAAAAAATAATAAAAGGATAAGAAAATAAGAATAGGAAGAAAATAAATATATTGAATAATTAGAAAATCGATATTTTTATTATATTATATTAAATATGCAATTTATTATGATTTGGAAAAAATAATATATTTTGGAAATATTTTTATTATTTATATTTTGTATATTTAGATTTTGTTGTTTTAAATTTAATTATATTTATATAAAATATTATTATATATATATTAATTATTTTAGGAATGGATTGATGCCATATAATTTTTGATATTAATTATTATTTAATAGATATTTATATATTAATGAAAAAAATGAATAAACATATAATATTTTTTTTGATTTAAATTTAATTATATTTATATAAAATATTATTATATATATATTAGTTATTTTAGGAATGGATTGATTCCGTATAATTTTTGTTATTAATCGTTATTTAATATATAATATATATTAATGAAAAAAAATAAATAACAATATATTTACGAAATGGATTTAATATAATTAAAATATGCCAAAGATCTATTTATAATATATTTCATATATAAATATTACATAGGGATATATTTAAATAATATATTATTGTATTATATTTATTAAATATATTTTTTTAATATTTTGATATAAATGACGAATATGATAAATTGTTTATCATATTATTGAAATTATTCATTTTATTGAATAGATCTATATATATATATTATATATATTTAATATAATTGATTTATATTTAAATATTATTTAAGAAATATATTGTTTAATGAGGAATATATATATTTCATAATTAATCTATTATATATGTCAATTGCATATCATAAATTTGATTGTTTCCATCGCCGTTGGCATTCGGTTTAATTGCCCTAAAAGGACCCATGTGGATGACATGATCGGGGCGGGGGACGAGAATGACCCAGAATACAACAAAGCAAGAGAGGCATTACAAAAGGAATTCAATTTCCAATATTGGATAACGGAACAAGGTGAATTTGAGTTTTGTGGCAATAAGTTGACACAGCTCAGCGACGGGGCATGGAAGATTCAAGAAGATCAAGCCCATGTCGACCACCTCTAAGAAGCATGATGATGAGCTCAGATCCAATGAAGTGAATTCCTTGAGAGGTCTTTTGGGAGTTTTGCAGTGGGCAGCAACACAGACGGTGAACCTGACCATCCATATGTTGTTTTGGTCAAATTGTCCCGTCCCTACAAATAATTTGAAGGGGATGTGATACTTATGGGGTGCCAACCAGGTTTGAATTATATGCAACACATCGGGAGGGAGGTCTATCTGACGCAAAGCCTGAAATACTAGGTCTCTACGTATTGTGTCAAATGCCTTTTCCATGTCGAATGAGATCTGGAGACCTCCGAACAGACCCTGAGGACTTGCGTCCAGTTGTCGATCACGACAAAGCTGCCGAATTTGTTGGCAGTGCTGTGAGATCCGAAGGAGACACTCTGTGCTGTGAGGGCCTAAGTGCCGCTGGTTGAGTGCCGGGTTTACCTGGCTTAGGGATCAAGTGCAGCCAGTCTGCAAGCCGGTGACTGGGTGGTGTCATTTGCTCTACATACCAATAGTAATCAATGGCAGCATGGATCGGACCCGCAAGCTCCGTAGCAAGATGTCGCCAGATGTCGCCAAATGATGGCGGGCATGCAGGGTGGGGCTAGTGCTTTCATAGCTGGTAGTTGTCGAAGACCCTGCATTGGGTAAATGGAAGTATATGAAGGGGGACATCCCCAGGGTATTGAAATAAAGAGTCCTGAAAAAGTTTGCCAAAGAATTGTTCAATACGTTGTAATTCCAAGGAGGGGTTGAGTGGTTGTCCATGATCATCATATCTGAATCTTCTGAGGGCGTTACTTGGGGCACAACTTGCAAACCTTGCGGAACCAAACATATGTCTGATGACGTAAGGCCAGATCAGCCTTCCTGAAGGAAGTCTTCCAGCTTCTGACGCTTATTCTGTCGGTTGCATTGGCGAACTTGCTTGTGGAATCGTCAAAACAAAGCAAGGTGCTTCCAGGCCGCGAAAAGGGAAGCGGGCGACCGATCAATCAGTGCACGAACAAGTTTCCTGGCCTGCCACATGCGGGCAGTGATGGATGCAAGCGAGTTGCATGCGATTGGTGTGGATATTTGTTTGGGAAACCAAGGCTTGCAAAGATCAATCAATTAATTTTCAATTTGATGAAACGAAGAAGGATCAATCGCAGTGGTCGAATGCATGAGTTGTCTGGCCTCCCAACAAAACCCTTGCCAGCGCTGGATGTTCTGCTTCATGTCCTGTCTGCTTCATGTCCTATCAAAAAGGTCAATCGGTTTGGGTCGTGGTCCTGGAAACCATTTGGGGATGGTCCAAGTCAATGGATGATGATGTGGACTAAGGAGCCCAAAATTGAAGACGAAATTTATGAGCAATTGGGGTGCAACCAAAGGCGAACTAATCTGCTTTTTTCGCATCAAGGCAAAATCTATCCTATTGGTGTGTGTACCATACTTGAAAGTTGGGTGCAAACGGTTACGACAATGGAGTGCTACAAGTTCGAATTGCTGGACCAAATCGGAGAACGTTAATTTATCCCGTTGTGCAACTTGTGGAAATTTTGGATCCGCAATATACATTTAATGGGATAGGTGAATGAGTGGAATATTAAAATCACCACAGAATATGATCTAATGTCTCAGGGGCAGGCGTTCAAGACAGTGCTATAGGAGAATCCAAATGTGCTGCCGTTTCGAAAGGATCTGCCGTGTGCCA